GTACCCCCCTGAACTGACGGGGTATCTTCACAACATTCTTCAATTTTCAAGTCTATGATAGCTTCCGTATGGTCTGATGGGGATCCCGTAGCTCTGTCTTCAGACATCATGAGTGCAAGACCCAAAAGTTTTCAACCCACAAGTGAGCTACTGTCAATCTTTGGTTTAGCAAGGGACCATTAAGGGTCGACGTAGGGGTCCCTTTCATAGTGTAGTCCCCAATACTGTATATTACCAAACAAGAACCCATGTCCTTTAACCACAGAAGGAAATATTGACTCTAGCTCATATGGCTCTTCACTTTATATTGATAGTTTGTTCAGCAAGTGCCGCGAGTTGGCTCTTGGGATGCGTTACACGGCAGGAATTCGGTCGGCTGCTACCAGGTGAACCTTTTCCTGGATGGTGAGTGGAGAGTCACGCTTCAAGCAGTTAGTTTTTCGGTGGTTCGTGTCCTTGACCAAAGCAGTGCGTTGCACGGCTAAGGCTGTCAACATAGATGATCGCCTTCCCTGCCTTGGCCACAGATTTTACTACAGTACTCTGCTTCTGTCTCTTGACGGGTACTTGGCGATACCATATCATATGTAACATCTGCCTCAGGCACCGACCAGCAAAGGCGGCCAGATGGAAGTGGATTAGCTTTCAGCCGTCACTTCCTGAGCTGAAATAAGAGGATAGTCACTACGAGCAGAAAGAGGAATGGCCTGAGAGGTTGCGAGGTGGATTGCCTGACCTGTGGCTTTTTCCTTCAAGGTGCAGAGTTTAAAAAAGTAACATGTAGAGAGTCATGAGTGCTTGCCTTGCAGCCGAGCAGCCAGCTTCAGCCTTCTTTACCTTTTGTACGTGGTTGAACCTCTCAAAGAAACCTTTGGCGCAACGTCCAGGGTCCTGCAGCCATGTCCATTCGGGGCATCTTTTTGCTGCTATCCTGTTTCACCTGCTGCATTGCTTACGATGAGGAAATTGGCTTATTGATGGCACATCTGGAGAAGGCAGTGTACTGCGGCGAGACGAAATTCACCGACTGGGATGTGGGCCAGTCCGTGGCCAGGGGGCCAAAGGTCAATCGAACACAGCTGCGGTTTGTGACCAGTTCCAACACCCAGGCAGCTGCGGGTATTGGAAAGATGCTGGAGCCTAGGGGCTGTTTTGTTGCCATTAGGGGAACATTTGGTCCCATCAGCTCTGTATTAGATGCCGCCTTCTGGCTCACCGACTTCGAGCAGAGCATTTGTCCCGGTTGCCAGGTGGTGGCAGGATTCCATCTAGCTTACCTATCCATCAAAAAAGGCATTTTCGGCGCACTGCAGGACTTTGGATGCCAGGATGAACCCCTATATCTTGTGGGACATTCGCAGGGCGCAGCATCTCTATCGTACTTCATGTTTGATGCTCTGGTCAAGAACTACACTGTGGAGCATATGTACGCTCTGGAGTCACCACGCCCAGGCCAGGGGTTAAACACTTTTTGCATCTGGGGATCTTTAGGGCCTTCACTGTTTGTTGTCTTACAAAGTGGAGGTGGGCGGGGGTATTCAGTCATTTGTACATATGTGTACCCCATCGCAAGATCTCGCCCGCCACGAAAGGCAATGCGTTATTTGGACAGGCCCTTAGGGCTCTTGTTGGCAATGTTGACGCATGGCGTGTGTCGCACTACCAGGACGGGGTGTGCTGACCTTGGAGAAATGAGCCGGATTGGGATTGTTGCTACATGCCAACAAGCATGCGCTGTCAAGGACATAGTTGTACACTTGCCACCTCGAGGCCGCGAACATTCTTGGGACTGGTAAACAAGTTATTGTTGTGTTGTAAGCGTCTGAAGAGTCTGCGAAGGCTTGATGTTTCAGCATGCGCTGCCAGACCCCTGTCTGCATTGAGGGATTTTGTATATCTGTTGTGACATCAAGGCCGTGAAGCTTTCAGCATGCATTTCTCGTGGCTCAGCACCCAGCGAAGAGGTGCAAACGCAGCGTGTCCCTGCAGACCACAACCGCAGAGCAGCCCTGCAGTGCCCCCAACGTTTGCACTGCCCAACCCTAGAAAATCATTTCGGGCCTGGAGGCTTTGCCGAGAGGCCTCAGGATGCTCCAAATCACGAGAAGCTACTGTAAAAGATATTCTCGCTACTTTCGATGGTTCCTTAGGGTTTTAGAGTCTTTTTGTCCCTATCTCGACTCAGAATGGGACCCCAGTTGTGCTGATGATGTTCGCGTACGCTAGGAGGGCTGGGTCCCTATTGCCAACATTCATTGCCATTATTATGTTGACCTTATGACCAGAACTTCAACGGACAGGACAAGTTCTTGAGGGTCCATTATGATATCCTCAAGAAAAGTCTTTACCATTTTCTGGGTCGCCCATAGGTGGGATGGTTTCACGGGTTTTCGCAAGGGTGTAAATCAGCGAAGGTCTTGCAGTAGATGTAGCTTGTTCTCAAAATGTATGTGATTTTTGGGGCCGGATTTCCAGAAGATCTGAGAGTCATGTTGAGCTGCCTAGTTTTTCATACAGGAACCCCCACACCCGGGTAACCCAATGCTGGGGTGGTTTAGGAGCTTAGGGTTTAGGATTCAGGATTCTAGGTTTTTGAGTTTAGGTTTGTAGGGGTTTAGGATTTAGGACTCAAGGGTTTAAGGCTTAAGATTGTAGGGTGGGGGTTAGGATTTAGGATTCTGGGGTTTTAGGGTTTAGGATTCTAGGGCTTAGCATTTAGGATTGTAGGGTCTAGGGTTCTAGGGTTTTAGTTTAGGGTTTAGGGTTCAGGATTTAGGATTCTCGGATTCCTAAACCCTGCGAAACTAAGTCGCAACCCTCGGCGCTAGAATCCTGAATCCCACTTCTGGAATCCTAAGCCTCAACTTTTGGAATCCTAAACCTTAAACCCTAGACACCCAAGCCCTAAGCCGTAGAATCCTAAGCAGTTTACGCTCCTCTGGCACTGGGGTAACGCAATGCTGGGGTGGTTTAGGAGTCTAGGGTTTAGGGTTTAGGATTCCAAGATTAAAAGTCTAGGATTGTAGGGGCTTAGGATTTAGGACTCTAAAGCTCATGGTTTAGGATATTAGGGTTCTAGGGTTTAAGGGTGTAGGATTCTCGGGCCCCCTACAAAATTAAATCCACAACCCTCAAAGCACGTAGGCCGCGTTGAAGAAAGAACAGTTCGCAACATGTCTCAGCACAGGTACCCTCAAAAATTCTCTGCCTAGATGATCCTTCAATGCCGTGAGCAGAACCATTACATGGCCATCCCCTCTTACGGCCTCCATGTAAATGGCTTCTTGGGGACCCTCAGAAAGGGGCGTCTCCATTTTCTACATCCCCGCGATCCCGAAGACACTATCAACCCCATCATGCCTAAACCAGCGGGCGCGGACAGCCCAAGGAGAAAAAGGACCCCAATGGATGCTGATGATGCTGGCCACCTTGGCCAACATTATCAGCATCATTCAGGTAGGGCCTGTCTGTTTCAGGTCGGAGCTTTGGGTCGGAGTTTCAGCACGGCCCCCCAACCATTTCAGGTACCTGCACAGGACATTTGCGGTCGGCCATGCAGACAATTCAGGTCGGCTACCACGCTGGAGCGCCGTCGAGGGATCGGATTGTTCCAATGCTGCACGCGCGTCATCGAGTGATCCGACCCGGAGGACGCTCCATGCTTGAACGCCCTCGGGAAATCGGATTCTGAGGACGCTCCACGGTCGGTCGGGAGATCAGATTCTTGGGACGCTCCACGCGTCCGGAGAGCTCTGAAGAGGGGGGCTAATCTCGCTTCAGGTCTAGAGATTAGGATTCACTAGGGGGCAAGATTACGAAAATCACCATGTCAGAAACTGCAATCGCTTTGGAGAGGGGGGGCAGATCGGATTCTGGGGACGCTCCACGCGGGAGCGCTGCCGGGAAATCGGATGGTGAGTACGCTCCACGCGGGAGCGCCGCTGGGAAGCTGGATTTTCAGGACGCTTCGTGCGGCCGTCGGAAAAGCCATCGCATGTTCGACTCCACGCGCCCGAATCGGCTTGCGCGCAGACCCCAAGCAACCTGCGGGCCGACCCGAATCGCCGCATGCCCGTCGGGAATTCACGGACCCGCGTCGACTGTCCTTCCCCCCGAGTTGACAGACCCGAAACGCACACCCCGTCTCATTGGGTCGAGATCTTTCTCGGCCCTACCCCGAAAGCGGCTTTGGGGCTAGTTGTCAAAATGGTTCGTGTTTATGATGCTGAACTGGGGGTTTCTGTGGAGCCCAAAAGTCCTTCAAAATCCTTCGGCAGCGCGGGGGTGTGCTTCAAAAGCGCAGGGGCCCCCGGTATAAACAGACTGCGATGATGCCGGCGGGGGGGGGCGTTGGCGGTGGCGCCGCCCCTGTAAAGCCAAACCACCCGGCCCTGCCGCCGTGATCCAGTGCGGAGCCCGTGTCTAGAGCTTGCGCCGACCCCCTGCCCCCCCCCCATGCATCATCGGACCTCCGTTTCTGACTCCATTCCAAAACCACTCTGAAATTCACATGCGCAGGGACGGATTTCAGGCCTCACGGCGTGGGCCAGCCCTGCCCCCTTCGTAACCGACAGCAAGAAGCGGCGATAGTAAGCAAGTAACAGGACAAAACGTACCTCATACAGTAGTAAAAGTAGGAGTGGTCGGAATGGCAGTGGTGAATGACAGTACAATCGGACAAACTGCTAAGCTGTTTAGGTCATAGTTTGTGGCCCGGATGTGTGGTCTTCAGTGGACCCGAACTTGGAGCCCTCATTAACACCATCATGTCTGGTCCAGCAGGCGTGGATTGTCCAGAAGGCTGGCAAAGGAGAAACGGGACGTTTTTTGATGCTGATGATGTTGGCCCGGTTGGCCATGTCATGTACAGTCAAGAGTCAAGTTCATACAACCGTGCAACATGATTGATATGCGCGCTCAAGGTTCTGGGGATACAGTGCTCGGTGCCCTGCCCGTAGTAAAAAGGAGACACGCTGTGGTCTGACTAGCTGTGCACTTCGTGAGGCTAGTTACGCCCATTTTCATCTCAAAGAGCTCCACTCAAAGTTTCCCGTCGCACCCAACCCCCAAGTCTCCTTGCCTGCAATGCCCAACTTCAGACTATCCCTGCTGCGCCCAACCCGCAATATTCCAGACGTTCCTTGCAGTGCCCCAGTCTCTCGCTGCAGTGCCCAACTTGGAGGTATCCTCGAAGTGCGCAGCCCCAGAGCATATTAAAAAATCAAGCCTCATGCGAGCCAACCCCCACCCCAACGACAGTGTTAGGAATGTACAGTTGTTATGTTTGCAGGCTGGCGCAACGTTTTGGACTGGAAACATGCTCCATATTGTTGCTGGAAGTGGTTGATGATGCCAACAAACCACCGAAAAAGACCAGGGTGGGGATGTTTCAAGTAGATATTAGATAATCTAGATAACTGATATATGTTCTGTGCACCGCGTGTTTTGTCCGGAATCATCAAGATCATGATTGCCATAATAACCAGCCACCTTTTCTGGACTGCGAAGCTTGGAAGTTCCCCCGACCGCATGGCTAGGCACTTGTCTGCCCTGTTTGCTGTATGCATTTGCGGTTCGAATCTCTTTATCGACGCTACAGCTTTGAAGTGTAGTATCGATAAAGCCCCTTGAGTTCAGCTGATCAGATTGCACATGCTCTGGCTACTTGTAGCTGAGGAGATCTATTACGAAGCCCGTAAAGGCAGGCAGTACAAGACGTGCGGCGTAGAGGACGCTGGCTTGCGCAAGTTTTAGGTGAGACGCTCTTTGTGGTATCAGCGTTCTATGTGCAGGAGCGTAGCTGTTCCAACCGCTGGTGGCCATGGCAGCTTCGAGCGGCAGCCTGTTTGATTTTCACGAGATAGTGTTCTGAAAAGTGGGTGGTGGGTGGAGGGGAAGGGACGCCAAACTTGGCAGAGCCAGCCACTCCAAGGAAGACCACGACTGGTATGCGGACCTGAACCCGTGCAGTTGTGGCGGTGAGACTGCAGAGGTGGGGGCCATGATGTCTTGGCTGCACTTCACCATGATTCTCCATGCCTGCTCGAGGAGCCCCAGGTTTTCGATCGCTTCCTTCGCGAGGCAAGACGCTTCGCAGTGCCCGAGGTGCCTGAAAGCACGCAGGAGTCGAGCGGGATCAGCCAGGGATTGTCGATCTGTCTCAGAGGGATTGGGGTCCAGCGACATAAAATTGCACATTCAATCCCAGGCCATACTGACTAGATGTGACGGAATTGGCAGAGGTTTGGCGCTACAGGGATTCAGTTCGCTACAGGCGATGCTTTCCATGACCATCTTCATCTTTGCTTTATGCGGCAGACGCGGCGCTCGATGCCGCAGAGGTTTCCAAGACCAGCTGGCAGTGCAGGCAACCCACAAAGCACATAGCACTTGATAGTCCAGTTTGTTCAGATGCCCTAGCATCTGCAACGGGGGCCCCATCATCCCATTATTAGGTCAAGCTTGGGCACAAGGCTTCTGAGGTGACTGCTAAGGTTAGTTTGCTGCCCCCAACCAGCCTATCCACGCCTAAAGTTTGCAGAGATTTCAGGCTGCTTCCGTGCTGTGGCAGGAGTCCGATGGCGTCTCTGCTATCTCTCCTTCGCGGAGGATGCTCTATGCATAGGCGGTCATACGTGCATGTCAATGGGCGGGGAACCCCCCATTCATCGACAACGCCTCGATTTGTGCAGGTGATTTTTGCCAATTCAGGTTTAGGCATGTCAGCAGCAGAGGCTTGCCAGAGGCGCAAGTCGTCCAAGGCATGTCTCACCATGGCACAGGTCAAGCGGTGCAGTTCTGAGAAATCCGAAAAGCACGCATGCCAGGGACTGCAGAGCTCAGACATGCTTCGGGTCCCACTTGCCAGAGTTCCAGTCTAGGTTGATTTTCAGTATAGGTTGGCAGAGTCAAGTAGCTCTCAGTTTTCACCAAAGCCTGTAACGGATTACGCGCGAAAAATCATGGCGCCAGTCGGAAGAACCCCTAGCCATGTTCTGTAGGAGCTGGAGCGATAGACGTGAGGATTGGCAAGGGCTTGCAGATTGAGCTGTTGTCAAAATGGTCTTGAGATTCCTGACCAATCGGACTGGAAGACCTACGCAGCCCCGAAATGAAAGAGCGGGTGCAGGCAGACTGGAAGGCAAAGGATGTACCAGGACAGCTCCAGACGCGGTGGGCCGTTTAAGTCTACTGCCAACATCTGCCAACGAGGAGTTTGTGTTCCAGGCTTTAGTGTTGGAGGACAAAGCCAATCCAGCGCAGACGCATTTCACGCGATGACAGCGGCCTTGCTTGGCCTTGCTGTGAGCAAGTTGTATGAAATCTGAAAGCAAAACATGTCCTATAGAGCATTGATTGGAAGCTATTTGCAGACTCAGGTGCAGACGGGCAGCAGCTATGGACGCCTCTGCTTGAGAAAGCATATGCCAAGGCCATTTGCCCTGGAAGAGGTGACTCTCCATGGGCATTCCCAGGGATAGCATTAGAGACACGTCCCAGACAGGCAAGGCAAGACCCCAACAAGCATGGGCTTCCTGAGTCAACACAGAGTATCTTGAATAAACGTAAACAAAGCAATGCCGCCAGGCACATGGCTCCTACAGAGCCATCAGTGGCGGCGAGATCGCCGAGGCTGTTGAGTGCACTCAGCCTAGTTCTTGTGTGCTCCATGGCTTGAACATGTTTGGGCTGCAAATGGAAGACATGTATGTACACTGCTGATTGTAGACAGTCCAGCACAGTGACCTTTTTGCCTATCATGCGATTACCTAATGGTGTGGCTCGACATTGCAGGCACTGACAAAGTGACAAAAGGGTGATTCTCAGCAGCTTTTGTCGGAGCATATCCGAACCTCCGTCTTGACCGGTCAGCCTAGACTACATTCGGCAGACGTCCGCAAGTGGAACGGCATCAACATTGTCTGACAGTATGCACGTGTTGATATTGCCATGCGACTGCCTGAAGCTGCTACGTGCAACTTTTTCCAGCCATAGTGACCGTGAGGCTCATCATCGCCCACAGTTCAGTATTTCCACGTGCATAGACAAACATCAGCATGGTCCCGGAAGCAAAATTGTAATAACACTGGACACCAGTATCTGAGCTTGAGCGTTCTACTCTCTCAGGCAAGAAGCTCCAGGTCAGAAAGCCTGGTAGAAGCATTGTTTAACCCCCCCTAGACTAGGTCGTTGTCTGCTGCCCATGTTTTTCGACAGCTTAGGCTGACTTTCCACTGGGACCCCAGTATGCCGATCTGATAACCCTTGGACTACCTCCTCTTTCCACCTAAACGGGCCGAGAACATGTTGGTGGACTGGGGCTCTTCCAAAAATTGGGGGTACCTTCTTAAGGGTCCCCATAATAAGGATTCTGGTAGATTGGGGTCCTTCTTTTGTGCCCGTGCTCAGCGAGCTGAGCCCCTTCAGAACTCTCTTCATCTGCCACAGAGACTGGCCGGAAGAGCTGCATTTTGAATAGGGAATATATATATATACATATATATATATAGAGAGAATGGAAAGTAACATTTAAAAGGAACCTACTGTAGTACAATAGGGTATATAATGGGGTTATATATAAAGGGATAATGGAAAAGAAGATCGAAGCTACTATTTAGTGTGGCGGGGCAGGGCAGGCTCTTTTGGATCTCACCGGCTGTCCGACCGAGAGCATTGACTTCGATGAGCCACGCACTTACGCAAGCGTGGTATTTTGAGAGGGTCAGTCTTCGGGATGTTGAGGTCAAGGGCTTCAATAGGCTTGGCAGATCCTAAGAGTGTGACCGAACCCGCAAAAGAGAGGACATCAACAATTCACCAATAGTTGGTTTTGTATTGGGCTTGGAGCGGTTGGTTGGCTCAAAGTCTGGCATCTTCAAAAGAGCAGCTGGTGTCGAAATCTAATCTCCTTTGAGGGCTTGCGTCTTGGGTGGGACCGCCCAAGCTCCTTTCTAATCATGCTCTTGCAGCCTTTTGTCGTGGCTTGGCGCATGTGTAGTGGCATTGCCGTGTTTTGTCCATGAGCGCCCCCTCTTGGGCTGTTGTTTGTTAGGACACTGCTTGTCGAGGGAGGGGAGCTCCGTGTTGAGGCCTGGCTTTGATCCACAGGAGCTCTGGGAGAGACTCGTAGACTTCAAGGCTCTGCGGTCGTGGCTCTCACGAAGTGCTTGCTACGGTGCTGCGGGCCATGCAGGCGAAGTCCTTCCCAATGGGCTGCGCTACTGCCGGTAACCCCGAGCTACGGGAGGTTCTCCAAGCAGAGGGTTCTACTCAAAAGTAGTGCTTGGCAATTCGATTGTGCAGGTCGGTCTTTGTGGCAACCATGCTTACAGCATCCTTGACGTGCGAGAGCTCTATGACCAACGCTTCGTGGGCAAGGCATCCTGCCTTGCGGTGATGTTTTTTCGCAACGAGCCACGGGCCATTCGCAGGAGCTGGGGTACGGAGGAGCCCAGCAGGCCAGTACCAAAGCTTCCCGACAAGCCCTGACGAATTCTGTAAGCAGATGTTCTGCAATGTGAATCAATGTGAATCAATGTGAACTGCATTTGGCCTTGTGAGAAGCTCAGGCTCGGAGTGAGCTGCGTAGGATAGGTATCAGTATGCGGCTGGCAGCTTAGTCTTCATCGAAATGCCCACGCCCAGCCCCTGTGGGCGAATTGACATGGAGCAAGATCCGCTCGGGTTCTTTCTGGAAGCTTTGGACCGCCGGTTTGAACAGCACGAGGCTCGCAGGTGGGCCATTGCAGGCGTTGCATAGTTGGCGGTGTGCGGTTTGTGGGCTTGGTTGTTAGTTCTTAGCAGCTTGTAGCTAGTGACTGTAATGGGAGAAGCGGCAGTAAAGGCAGATGTAAGCAAGAAGGGAAAGCCTGATTGTCACAGCTGTTGCCACGGGCTGCAAGGCACCGGCCAAACTTGAGTAGAACCAGGAACAGCAGCAGTGGATAGATAGCTCAAATTTGTGTTATAATTGGCATGATGCGGCTATTGGGTGTGTGTTTTTCCTTTTTGCCTCCTGAAACAGTTGCTGACCTTGGTGTGGCCATAGTCATAGTTGCCAATTGCTGCGGCTGTGGCACCAGCAGCAGGAGTAGCATCATCAGCAGCAGCAGCTTGAGCTTTGTACCCGGAAGTTGCGTGACACGCCGGTCCAAAGATAGAGGCTGAAAAGATCAGGAGTTCAGGTCGAATTGGGCTCTGAGCTAGGTTATAAGCAAAGCGGCTGTGCATTCGACCATCCAAGATGTGAAGTCGCAGTGTTCGTGCAAGGGCTTCCTGCGGCAATTGCTGCTGGAAAGTAAGTATGAGCCGCCTTCGCCTCATCATGTGGAAGCTTGGCAGAATTTGTCTTGGCACACACCACTTGATTTGTTACTGGCCTTGCAAGCATGCTGGTTATGCCAGGACTCTGACAAAGCTACATTCAGAATGCTTTCAGGCTCGCTGCAGTCATGTGGGTAGACATGCTGGCAACAATCCTGTCTGCTGTTTTTCAGTGAAAAACCTTGTTGTAGCCGCTAGATCACGTTCTACTCGCTGCAAGACACAGGCGCTGAGCAACAAGTCTTGGATGATCAAGACTCAAAAACGGATCTTGGCTATGTTATGATGCAGCCAGAGCTGGACTGCTGGAAGCGATCCAGCGACATGATCCTCGAAGGCAATAACAACAATAATAATGTGACCTGACTGCATCTAGGACTGCTGAAGGATTGCATAGCCCTTTGGATGTCGGATATATGTCCAAGTCTGAGGATGATTTTTCCGACTCTTCTGGGTTTTGTGCTCGCATCTTTTGTAGAGCCCCGCCAGGCAGCAGCAAGAGAACCTACAGCTTCAGGCTTTTTGGACATGTACAACCATTTTCTTCTGCGTGAGCGGGAGCCGTTGTCCCGCTTAAAGGCGTTTGTCTTGGGACCCCTGGACTGGTACATGGGTGTGGTGGTTGTTGTGAACGTTGTGCTGATGATCTGGCAGACACAGCGCATGGGAGAGCGGGCAAAGGTCAGCTTAGGGCTGGAAGGGACTTTCATAGAAGGTCCTGAAGTCGTAATCGATGATCTGGAATATGCCTTCTTCTCAGTTTATCTGCTTGACGTCCTGATCCGAGTTTTGTGCCTACGCTTCGAATGGTTGTACAGCTCGCTGGACGGTGTTAATTACATGAACTTGATGGATGCAGCGCTTGTCCTCATAAGTGCCATCGAGCTCTTCCTGCTTCCAGCCTTTACTCCTCCTGGGGAGGAGACAGACCAAAGCACCAGGGGCATCCGAATATTGAAGCTCATGCGTATATTCAGAGCTCTAAGAATCGTGAAAACGGTAAATCTATTCCATCCTCTGAGGGTTCTGCTGAGCACCTGCATTGCTAGTATTGGTGCACTCTTCTGGTCAATGACATTGATGGTGGTATTGAAGCTGGGTTTCTCATTGCTCATATGCCAAGCCATACATCCATTCCTTATGGATTCGTCGCTTGACATTGGATCACGACTGGAAATCTATGCGCTCTACGGTGACTTCTGGAGCACGATGTACACGATGCTTCTGGCTCGATGTTCATCAGAATTCTGGTTTGAGGAATCGGCAGGTTGGATGTTGTACGTTGGTCAGGCAAAAACAAACATCTCAGACTTCTCCTTGTCGTGTTTTTATATTGCTGCTGTTATTCTGCTTGGTCCAGTGCTTGTCAGTCTTCTCCTGCCATGGAGACAGCAGCTAAGGACCTCTGGGAAGTCTAAACTCCAGGCATAGAACTTCCTTACAGTAAGAATCTCTACCAATTCATTCAAGTGCCTGGATTTAAATGAGTTCTACTCCCTAGGTAGCAGCCTTCCTCTTCCTCTCCTTCACCTCCGAAGCGAAGCTAGGAATTGATGCAGAAAAGGCTTCTTTGACCTTCCCCCTTTTTAGGCTCTTACTACATTTGTACTGAGGAAGCTTGTTATGCGCAAGCACACCATGTCCTGGATTGGCCCTAAAGCTCTGCCGGGCAACAAACCTGAAAGAACAGTCTAAACATGAAGGCACTGCCCCATCTTTACTGGTCGAAAAGAGGAATCCGGCAGCAAGAACCTCCAAGGCAGAAACCGCAAGTGAACACCCGCACCTGCACAGGCAAAGAACGGCTACGCAACGACAGTTGCTTGAACTTCTGCTACTCCAAAATTGAAGTTCAGGTACAAATTCTGGGGCTGTGGCCGCCCACATGAGCCAACAGAGCTTTGGACAACCTTTACTCACTTGCGTAATTTCCTGTCTGTGCCTTTTCGCTGAGTTCTACTGCTCTCTCCCACGGCATATCAGCATTGAAGCAAACTCCAAGGTTCTGTGCCAATGTTCAACAGGCCTGACATGATTCCTGAAAAAGCATACAGAGCATTCGCCAAAACGAACTAGCGAACCTTTGTAAAGTAACGCCATGAATGGTTTGCCTGCACACTGAACTGGACGAGACCAGCACAGCGAACACGTCCATCCGTTTCAGCAGGAGCCTACGGCTTCTAATCTTTCGGCTTACTGAACACCGTGACCATTTTCATGAAGGGACAGGCAAACAGGAGACCCGCGCTTGGCCGCTTCTCGCGCCCTCTTGGATGGCAGCTGAATCGGTGAAATAGCTTCTTCTACAACAAATGCAACGCTTAGAACAAGAATCCAAAGTACAAGCAACACCACGTCACGGTCAACAATGCAATCGTCAAATCCAAAGAAATCCTTGCTATATTCGCCAGGTTGCTATTGATGCCGTTGCTGTGCTTCTGTTGTTCTCGTCGTTGCTGCTCCTATTGCTACGGGTGCTGCTGCCAAGCACTATCAGCTCAAGCCCAGGACGCCGTCGCCGTGTAGGAACACACCAGCAGAAAGCTGCTAGAGCCTTAACTGAGCGGGCCTCCAAACCGTCTGGGCCCCTTACTCTCTCATTGGTTGTAGCCATATTGCATGACGCTCGTTGAATCTGTAAAAAGCCTTTGAGAGTGAAAGGCGCAGCTCTTACCTTCGTTAACCGCTCAGCGGGACCGCCTCGGCAAGGGCAGAGGAGAGCTGCATAGAGCTGCAGAGCAGTGACCTTTGCCAAGGCTTTTTCAGGCCATTCCAGGCCCGAACCCTCGAAAACTGATAAAAAAACAACGACCCTCGAGGATCTAAACGCCCGAGGCCTCCGGCCTCGGCGGATTTTTCCGACAGCTCCGGGGTCCCAGTTTCGAGAGGGAGCAATAGAAATTGCTGAGCGACCAGGAGTTCTTCTAAAGTGTGTGGGTTTCCCCTTTGCCGCGAACCTTTCAGGCCGGGGCACAGCCCACAGTCGTTTCTGATACGCAGAGAATCAATACGGTTTCCAATCCAGCTCCACCTCCGTTGCTGGATGGCACCCATCAGCCAAGGCGAAAGCTAGTGCGGGAATGTTGTTATAGCCTAGATGTTTCTCAGGCATTTGATAAGTTAATAGGGCCGGCTGCCCTTCTCGATTTTTTTGCGCAGATCGGCTTGGTCTTCGAACTCCACTGCAACTCCTGATGCACTATCTCACGCGGTCGCAGCTGAAAGTCCTTCAGCTTAACCTGTGCTCACACTGCTGCCACGATGTTCGGAGATTTGGAACCAAGCTTGCTGCGGGCTGAGGTCAGCGATAAGTTTACGGGGTCCACTGACGACTTTGTAGTGCACAAGGAGATTCATGTCTCGGGATGATTTAATCCAGGCCCACGCTGATGTCAAGTTGCTTCTTCAGGAGATTCAAGATTTCGGCCCTGTAGTCAATTTATCAACGTGCCATGCCATGATCAAGCTAAAGCGGTCACCCATCAACCCGAGAATGAACACGCGCAGATTCAAGCGGCGCGCCGCAGGCAAGATTTCCGCAGCTGAACTCAGCAAAAGCATATCGAATGCAGGGTGTGCGTCAGACACAGCGTGAGTTATCCTCCGACCAGCCCAACGTGTTGGCCGCGGCCTAAACAGTTCCTCCAACGCAAGCGTGTCAGGGTACCCGACAATAGTACTGCAATCTTGGAGTTCAGTCCGAGACTGAATAGGAGTTACGGCCCGCCCAGGAACTGTCAGTCAGCGCACCTTCGCGCAGCAAGCGCACCAAGCTAACTTGGTCAAGACGTAGATGGTGAGTAACATCTCGCATCCGAGCGGACGCGATTGGCCGTGAGAGGGTTTGCTGCTGCCAGGGCTAAATCATGCGTTCTTACAAGGAACAACTCGTGTGCAAGCTGTGGGGGAGGCATACGCGCGCGATCGCCAATTTTTTGGAGACCATACAGGATAAGAACGGGAATAATACATCTGGGAGCTTCCCCTCATGCAGGTCCAACAAATTCAGCAAAAAATCTTTTCATGTTTTGCGAAGGATGCTCCCCATCTTCTTCTTTTCCACACAGTCACTTGTCAGAACTGCCCAGCCGTGGATGAGCAACACTCCGACTGGTGGATTTTCACATGTCACCCC